TCAGAGAAATGCATATTCACCGGATACGATTCTTGTGTAGCAGTCAGTAAAGTCCATGGGTGCTTCAACCTGCGTCAACGAAGCGTGACAATTATATCTGTAGCCAGTTGGAAATCATTCCGGATTTAGATATCGTCTCTTCCGGTCCGCCTGTCAGACGGACGCCGGTCTATATACGTTCAGAAAAGGACAACAGAAAACCCCGCAATAATCCATGCACATACTCCTGAGAGAAAGAGCCTTTAAGTGCACCTGCGCGAATCAAATCTATTTCGATTGGTCAAATTTCACTTTTCGTACGAATGCCCCCAGGAGACTACGGACACACTGTGAGGCTTTTGGAAACTGAATTTACTGTGAAATAGTAGGCACTTTGATCCTAGCTTAAATAAACTGCATTAAATATCACTGGAAATACTATAGAAGCAAGATAGAAAGGATTGATGAGATACTTCATTAGTGGAATATGCGATACATTGACGAGACTCTACATTGGTCTAATCTGTTCATCCCCTTTGTACTTGATTTTCTCCTAGTTTACCAACTACTCACGTTAACTTATATTCCATCATACTATTTTTACTTTTTTCAGAAACCCTCATCTCATATTTCTATTTTCACATTATTTTCTCAAGAACGATTATAATTTTATGCAAAAGCTTAAGAAAAAAACATTGACATTCTCAAATTTTCATCCCTTTCATTATTAACATAAAAGATGTTTAAAATGAATTAAGCTTTTATATATAAACGACAACAAAAAACGCAAATGTCATTAATGATAACTAACACTAATTAAATACTACCTCGATTAGCATTAATTGAAGTTAAAATGGAATAAATTAAATCTTTTGTAACTCTAAAATGTTTTATTTTAGATTTTCAATATTGAAAAAACCAATCAGCTTGAAATAACTAAAATCTTTTTGACATACAAACTCGTAAAAAGTACTTGAGAGAACTTAACTATTTTACCGATTTTTATTAATTGATTAACTTTACTTTATTTAAAATAATTCAGATTTCCTTTTAAATATAATAGAATGATTTTTTCCAAAAGCTCATTAGTGAATAGCCTTTTAATTACTTAATAAAAGCTGTCGATACAAAAAAAAATTCTTTCATTGCATTTTCATATTTTTTTTTCACATATCGTGTTATGGATTTTAATTTCCTAGTGTGACAAGTTTTTTTCCCAGGATTCATTTGTCACATCAAAGTTTTTGTCGGCTTGACATTTTTTTTTATCATAGTAATGTAAATTTTCTATGCATAATAAACACTATCCAAGCTTCAATATGAAGTCATTAATAAGCTACGAACAATATCCTTGATTTATTTTTTAATTATTAAAAATAATGGCTATTATTACATCACTAACTTTGGATGATTTATGAGGTATAATGTATCAAAAATAACCATTTAAATATTGTTTTGACGTCACGTTGTCATATACGAATATATTAGAGTACAAACTTATAAATAAATAAAATTATTAACTTTTTATTTAACCACGTTTTTTATACATTAAAATTTTAATGACATTTACTTGATGGATGGATGATTCATTAACGACAAAAATTCTTTTTTTAAAACAAAATATTTTGTCAAATAATTTTTGTGCTTATATATAATGACTACGTGTAAAATAAAACCCTTTATCAAGGATACTTTGGAATATTTTAGAACACGACTCTTTGTTATTTTCATGTTTTTATATTAAAAGTAAACTATGTAATTTAAGCTTCACAAATTTCTGCTTTCAACATATACATGAAATATGTATCTCTTATAAAACCGAAAATCATCATAGATATTATGTTATCCTATTTTAAAAAAAAAAAAAAAAATATTTCTCTGTATAAAGTAATTTTAATAATTTCAAAACATGCTTAAAATAATGCAAATTTGAAATACACGATAAAATGTGGTTTTTCTTTTTTATAATTAAAATAAAAGTATTATAATAATTCATGAGATATAAAATATTATAAAATCGCACTATCTCGAAACATATTAGAGTCAAATATAAATAAACTAATTTTATTAAGATTATGAAAAAATAAAATGATCATTTTTGTACACAATATTTATGCAGATAATCCAAAAAAATCCATTAAACTCTTTAATTTCGAATAGCACTGAATGACTTTAAGGGCTTTCAGCTTTTAATTCAATGTTGTTGAACTCTTTTGCTATATCTATAGTTGATGATGGATTTGGAGGCGTTACTAAATTGTTTCCACTGCTCGTTATCGCCTAGTGGTTTTATCGGTCTGAGTTAATCGCCCTGCAACACCATGTTGTCACGGTTGAATCCCGAGTATTAATAAAGCTGAATGAAAAACAAAAAAACATGAAAGAATTATAAAATATAACAGTTAATATTAAAAGAATAAAAAATATTTATATGGAGTTTATATCTCTTTATCTTCTCCCCTTGTTGAATATGAAGTTGGGAATTACGAATTCGCAAAGGAGCACGACAATTCCTCAAGAGGTTGGGAAAAGCCCCAGTGGATCCTGTGCTTGAGCCTACAAGTAAATCACGCGTAATAACCATTCGAGCTCGTAAGCCTTATATACGGCGGGAGCGCGATTGGGTGTCTCTTTCACTCCAGTGTATCGAGTAGACCTTGGAGTATAAGGAGAAGAGTATTCGTTCCCTCCTCCAGTACACCAGCTGTTCCCAAGACTCTTCTCTCTCTTCTTTCTCTTCAACTCAAACACTCCATCGTTGAACAATGACGTCATTTGTGCTCCAAGTAACGAGTATTAACGTTTCACATTATTCATCTGGTATCAATTTATAGTTAATAATGAAGAAAGATGCAAAAGACATTCAATAAATCGATAAAAGTATGAAAAATGAATGAACTTGATAGAAAATATTTTCACTAAAATTCCAAAGTAAACCTATTTGATATATTTTAGAATTATATTTTTTCATTGATTAATTTGTTTTTTATTATTATCAAGATTAAAGTTAAAAAAATTTGTCCCCTAAATTCAACGTTTTTATAAAGCATAAATTAAATATTCAATAAATATAAATGTCTTCAACACAACGGATTTGCAGGGATAATTTAGACATGAATTTTAACTTGTTTTGTTTCATCTGCACTTCATTTCGTCTCTGTTGAGTTAGATTTTCAGAGTGATTTCCATATCACCTTTAATCTTAAAAACGTATTAAAATTAAACATAAATATGGTACTTATTCAAATTATTGAAATTTTTTAAAATAATTAATTTCAATTTCTTTACTTTCTGAATTATTAATCTCTTCTAATGAAAACTTAATTAAACCAGTTTTTCATAATTCCCGTAAATTATTTATCAAGTTCAGTTTCAAGTTTTATGACTCTATTACTCATTAAACAAGTATAATAAATTGCTATACCAGCCCCAAACACGCCTCCTTCTAGAAAAACAATGTAAACCTGGAAATATTACAAATTATAATTTTATGACCAGGGTTTTTTGCTATCTATAATTCAATATTTCCATTTTTATTGATAAAAATTGTAAGATATTTATTTCAAAAGCTTTCAAGCTAACTGTGATGGATAAATTTAACATTAGTTTATATTTTTATTTTTTTTTGATTTCAACATTTCCATGTGGTCGACAAAATTTGCAATAACGTTAACGGACACACGTTCTCTCGTTACGCGTAACGGCTCGACGTGCTAGCAAATGGTCCAAAACCGTTGCGCCCCTGCGACACTCAAAATATATACTATAGAACGTTAACATTTCTATCTATATGTATGTGCATTACATTTGTGCTTACACATGCGCTCCTTTGTCCATAATACCCCGATGTACGTGGATATAAAGCAGAAGGACATGTAACAGCTTGCTTAAATTCGATCTAAATTCAAAATAGCTGTCGGAAATTACCATCAAGTAGATGAGGGTCAAGCATCGGTCAGCCGCTCATATCTTTTCCTATTTAAGATTCTTGAATAATGATTTTTCTAATTTTCATTTTTCATTCCACTACTATATCCTAATCCTGAGACGTAGTCAGCATGATAAATAACTTGAAAATTAATAATAATCGACAGATCTAAGTTAAAGCCATGTAATTTAAAGTTTCCTCACGAGTTTCATGTAAATAATTGCATCATCGATAGAATCTATGAGATGTATTCGCACTAAAAGTCCTCAGCAAGTCTCTGCCTGAATCGCAATTCAATCAGGTAAGCAAAGATGAATCGAAAGTACCGTACGAAACGATGCTAGTAAAGTACTCTCATGGCTTTGATGGGGTTAAAATAAAAATGTACTAAGGAAAGTAAAGACCAGAGAAAAATTGTCATCGTTTAAAAGACGAATTATTTGTTATCTTTACTCTCGCACACGGCACTAATGTGCCTTTCAGCTCGGTTTAATCTTTTCGGATGAACTGCAGTGCAGATAAAGCTGCCCCCCACGTAGCCTGCTCATGCGTGAATCCGTCTGCCAAGCTGACGCAGAAAACGACACAAGTTCTAGCTTCAGGCGGAGAAAATGTAGAACTAAAGTCAAATTTATACTCTATAATTGTCGTTTTCATAACATACATTTTTTTTATTTACCCTCCAATTTTATTCTTTTACAAACTCATACTTCTTTCCTCTCATCAACGAGATGGAGAATATTCTAGCTGACAATTTGTTACTTGATGTCTACGATTAATTCGCAAGGTAAAACTGACGACCGTGATTGTTTGAAAACTCGTGATAGATGCGAACGCTCGTTAGCGCTCGATGAATAAACTCGATCGTTAGAGGCTTTCGTTACAGTCAAGAAACAAAAAAAAATTTATATTCAAGAATTCTAGTCTCTTGATCTAACGAAAAAAAAAAAAAATACAAAAAACAGATGACACCCCATAAAACACTACTATGTCCACGAACTGCTAAAGCTGCTATGAAAAATTTTCCAAGCCGGATTTTAGTGATTTATCAATATTTTAGTAGATTAAAATAAATCCAAAGATACAACTAATCTTTTACCGTTATTTCAGGCTTTATTTTTCATGCGTACAATACATACGTATATAAACGACAATACACATTAATGTAATTAACTATCAACTATCATTGAGAATGAATCATAAGTCGATTTTTTAAAGGTAAGCTTAAGATCAACTTTTTATCGCAAATATAATCTACGTTTATTCTATTAATTTAATTTCTTTTTCTCGACATATAAATATTATATATGTATATATAGATTTAATTATCAGATTTTATAAAGGATTATTATGAATTACTGTTCAATCTACTTTCATAAGAATTCAACAATTTAATGAAAAATTTTTATTAATTGAGCACACATGAGCTCAATTTTAATATAATCTGAGTTATACGATTGAAAAATGCGTTTAATGACATTATTGTTTCTACAAGAAATCATTTTCAACAATGATGAATATCTATAATCGTATGTAACGCACAACGCAAATAGTTTGGTATGAAAAGTAAAATAATTATCATAATCATAATAATAAAAATAATAAATTCCTATGGATGTATATTTTATCAGGAGTAAAACTAATTAATTATAATAAACACCTTAATTATCATCAGCATCATCGTCATCATCAGAGATATACTTTTTAGTAACTCTTTTTCGTCTACTAGCAGCTCTACTATCGTTTTTACGACCTTTTAATTTAATCTTCATCCTCACAGTAGAGTCTACATCTGATCCATCGTCGCAGTCACCTGTAGACGAATTGATTTCTACGTTATCGTTACAGAATCAATCCTCAGTATAATAGAAAGAAAAAAACATGTAATCAAAATTGATAAATACCATCATCAGAAAGAGCCCCATCTGCTTCCAAACGTTGTCTTGCACTTGTAAATACAGATTCGAGAACTATAGAATCCTCATGAATTGGCGATGCCTCTTCGTTATAAATTTGCGCGTTTTTACATAACTGCATAAAATCTTTCTCAAGCTCGTCAATACTTGAATACTGAAAAAAGAATTTTTCTATTTAATAAGAACTTTGATATTTACGGAATTATAAAAAGAACTTATGTTCGAACTTACTTTTCCTTCATCCACTTTCCGTAAAAGTTTATTGATGGTGAGTGGTTTCTTAATAACATCATAGTAATCAGGGAGCTCTCTTCTCGAAGGCAGCTTCATAAATGGTTCACTCAGGAGTCGTCCATCCGTACTGTCAGTGTAATTTACAACAACCATGAGAAGTTTCTTCATCGCTCGTTTTAACTTCATATCAACTGAAGGACCGGCACCTCGTCGCTTCTTAGGAATAGGCTCTTCTTCTTCTTCGCCTTTTTTCTTACGTTTACGAGTTTTTTTCTTCTTTTTATCATCTTCCTCCTCTTCTTCATACTCAACACCATCGTCATCGATAGCTTTAAGCCATTCTTTCTCAGTAAGACTGTCAGTGTAATCAACTTCTTTTCTTTGTCGAGAACCTCTGCCCAAGTATCTATCTTCATCTTCTTCATAAGTCCATCTTTCCACCTCATCATCGTCTTTCACCAACCAATCCGGTAACTCAGCCTCTTCCAACAATCGTGATTTACGATTTGGTCCTAATTTTGCTTCTTCTCTACGTCTTTCCAAATCAAGTTTTTGGAAAATTTGAAATTCTTCTTCAGTTCTTGCAATCATTTGATTTACAGTTTCATCATCGGGTACTTCATTTTCTTCTTCATCGTCGGCATCATCTTGATGAAGAATACTTTGTAAGAACTGTTGTCGTTCTGATCCAGTAGATTTTTGATCAAACATACCAGCTTGAATGACTTTTTCATCCATATTAAGCTTATACCTAGCAGCTGCAAGAATTCTCTCTTCTACGGAGTTGACAGTCATAAGCCGCAATACACGTACTTCATTTTTCTGACCAATTCTGTGAGCTCGATCTTGTGCTTGTAAATCTTGATGAGGATTCCAATCAGAATCAAAGATAATAACTGTATCGGCAGCTTGAAGATTAAGACCAAGACCACCAGCTCTTGTAGAAAGTAAGAAGAGGAAATAATCAGAACCTGGTTCATTGAATTTTTTCAATAATTCTCCTCGATCTTCGGCTTTAGTTGTACCATCTAACCGTAGATACATAAAACCTCGCCAACTTAGATAGTCTTCCATAATTGTCATGAGTTGGGTCATTTGACAGAAGAGTAAAACTCGATGATTTGTTGCTTTTAACTTCGGAAGGATGCGATCAAGTAATTCAAATTTGCCTGACGCTCGGAAGAGATCTGGACCAGACACAATACCCGAACCTTGGACACCTATATGTTCGCAATACTTTTCCTCGATCGCTTGGAACATGAATGGATGATTGCAAAGCTTTCTGAGTTGCACAATAGTATTCATCAATGCTTTAGTACCACCCTTGCCCTGCTTTCCTTTTTCTGAACCATCTGTGAGTAATACACCTTTACTCTGCATATGTTTATAAAGAACCTTTTGTAGTCCGGACATGTCACATTTGATAATGTATTCGACTTTATCTGGAAGTTGAGATTCTACTTCTTTCTTCAAACGACGGAGCAAGAATGGTCGAAGCACCTTGTGCAGACGACGAATAATAAGAATAGTTTCTTCTTCATTTAATTCGACTTTTTCTCCAGTTGTTGCAAATGGTGCATTAAACCACTGTTCAAATGTACTACAAGATTTGAAGATTGAGGGAAGTAAGAAATTTAAAAGTGCCCATAACTCAGGTAATTTATTCTGTAAAGGAGTACCAGTGAGAAGTAGACGATGTGGCGCTAAGTAGTGTGTATTTAAAACTTGAGTTAGCTTACAATGATGATTCTTCATTCTATGACCCTCGTCGATTATCATATATTTCCACTGCAATTTAGCAAGCACACTTTTATCTTTGATGACATACTCGTAAGTAGTAAGGAGAACATTAAACTTTGTAGCGCGCATCTGCGATTGAATTGCACGACGCCCAGCTGGAGAGCCTTTGTAAGAAACGACTACAACACTAGGCGCCCACTTTTCAAACTCTAGTACCCAATTAGACAGCGTAGACAATGGAACAATAATCAAAAATGGCCCATTGACTTTTTTCTTCTCCATGAGATAGGTCACTAAAGCAATGGTTTGTATTGTTTTTCCCAGACCCATCTCATCTGCTAAGATGCCGTTCAAATTATTATTAAATAAGGAAACAAGCCATTCAAGTCCTTTAATTTGGTACTCTTTGAGAATACCATTAACCATAATAGAAGCTTGCTCCGTGACAACCTCATGAACAGTATGAGCGATGCTGTAATAAGTTTGCTCTTCAGTTTTGTATTCATCATCTTCAACTTTCTTCTGAAAGCTTTTCTTTGTTTTATCTTCACTTTCGCCTTCACCACTAGCCTTGGTCTTTTGTTCTTTTTCTTCATTTTCTTCCTCTTCTTCTTCCTCTTCTTCTTCACTATCAGAATCAACTGCTTCCCAGCCTGGATGAGCTTCTAACCAAGCATTTAACTGGCTCATTAATGGTGCTTCCTCTCCAGTTAGAGTCCGACCTGTGCTGGTTTCTATAACATTAACACGAGAATCATCTGCAGGTGCACCTTCATCACCAACATTAGCTCCTTCCTGAAGCTTCTTCTTTTTCTTTTTACGTTTTTGTTCTTCCGCTTGTTTCCGTTTTTGCTCCATTTTATGTTGTTTGACCATTTCAGTTAAATTACAGATATATTCGTCAGTTTGAGAGAGTAAGAAAGCCAGACGCTTGTCTTTCTTCTGATCAATAAGTTTCCTATATCCTTCTTCGTCTTCTGCCATAAGCCGTCGCATACGTTCTTTCTCAATTCGTTCTTGCTCTTTCTTTTGTTCCCTTTCGGCATTCGCATGATAGTTAAGAACTGCCTTATTAAGTCGCGCCAATTTTGCCACATTGTTGCGATGAAACTCTTTGAAGTCTTTGCCGTGTTGGAGTACAGAACTTAAGAATTCTTGATGCTTCTGACGACGTTTACGTTCAGCTTCTAATTTCTGTTGTTTCTCTAATTTCTCTGTTGCACGAGCTTCTCTCAATCCTTGTCTCTTTGTGCGTTTATATGCTTTGACATTGATTGCTGTTTCTAGAGTAGTATCTTTACGAGTACAAGCAAGAATCTCTGACCGCAACTGTCTCTGGAAGTTTAACACTCGTAACATTCTAAGTTCAATTTGTGCTTGAATACGTAAATCTTCTGGCATGTTAGTGGGTAAATTACTCAACTGCTCCATGCGCAAAGCAATCCGTGTGGCAACTCGATTTTCACGCTCTTGGAGAATCAAAAGGGGATCTAATCCAGCCGGTTTAGCAACACTTGTAATTCTATTTGTCTTATTTCCTTGAGGCTGTTGTTGAGGTTGTTGTTGTGGAGGTTGCGAACCCGGCCTAGGGGGTCCTGTTGGCCCCATACCAGCTGTTGGTTGTATTGGTGGCCCTGTAGGAGTGCCAGGCCCTTGATTTGGATCCATTGGACGTGGTCCTATATTTGGAGGAGGAGCTCCACCTTGTACTGCAAGAGCTAATTGTTGTGATAGCGGTTGATTTCTTGCGAGAAGTCGGTAAGCCATAATTTGAATTCTTAGTTGATGAAGTTGTTGAGCACTAAAGCTTTGTTTTTCACCCATACCTCCTTGGCCCTGTCCTTGTCTCGCTCTAAGAGCTAATAATTGAGAGTAACGCGGATCTTCTTGTAAACCTTTTTCTTCCATTGAATCTATAGCTTTTTGTAGAGCATTTAAATTTTCTTGACCTGGACCAGATGGTCCTGGAGGACCACCGGATCCCATTTGACCAGTCTGAGACATTTGGTTGACAGGTCCACCAGGCCCCATAGGTCCCATTTGTCCTTGATTTGGTGTTCCTGAAGGCATTGGACCCATTCCCGGAGGTCCAGTTGGACCACCAGGTCCTACAGGATTTCCAGAATTATTAACATTCATTTGTGGAGGTCCAGTGGGAGCCATTTGATTATTGGGACCTCCAGGGGGCATCTGATTTGGTGCAGATACAGACATCATTGGACCTCCAGGTCCAGGAACTGCAGGACCCGGTCCTGGACCTCCTGGACCACTCATATTCATTGGAACTGGACCACTTGGCCCCATATTCATTTGATTTCCTGGTCCACCCATTCCCATTTGACCATGACCATTAGCTCCTATTTGTCCTTGATTGGTTGGACACATACCAGTTGGACCTCCAGATGGCATCTGTCCTCCAGAACTCATTGAAGGTGCTCCACCTGGTCCCATTTGTCCTTGTGGTCCACCAGGACCCATTGATCCAGGCCCCATAAGTACTGGCCCGCCTTGATTCATTGGATTTGGTCCTCCAGGCCCCATATGTCCTCCTGGTGCATTAATATGACCTGATGGTGGTGGAGGTCCTCCCATATGTCCTGGTCCTCCTGGCATTTGATTACTCTGTCCTCCTGGTCCCATTTGTGGTCCTGGCGGTCCTCCCATTGGTGGACCTCCCGGACCTCCTTGCATATGCGGTGGAGGTCCTCCTGGTGGTCCACCCGGTTGACCCATATGTCCACCAGGACCCATCTGCCCACCTGGTACCATTTGACCTCCTGGCCCCATTTGATTTGGTCCTATAAAATATTTATGGACTGAATACAAATAGAAATTATATCAATTAGTTCCCCAAATAAATAAATAAATAAAAAAATAATGAGCTTATTATAATTAGAAATAAATAATGCGAATCATATAAATTTAATCAATAGTTTTATCTACAAATTAATGCGAGCATGCATTGATTATATTTTTTATGTATACTATCAAAGTAGACTGTTAACAACAAAGTTATATACAATAAAACTCTCATAAAAAACTTTCTTTCAATACTAACATTTAATAAAATGAACAAGAAAAACGTTCCAGTGATACAAGTATACCTGTATCACAACGATAAGAAAATTTTCTACTTTACTTAATACATATATTTCTTTAATGAATGTATATAATAAAAAATATCACGAATGACTTAAAAATACTTCACAACTTTTTTATTACCGTAAAAAATATTACTTGTCAGTTTAACTTGCAACATTTCATAAAAAATGAATAAATATAAAGTTCATTATTTAAAAAAAGAGAATAAGTCAATAAAAATATATTTTTTATCTCACCTCCTGGGCCCATTTGATTCGGTCCTCCAGGACCCATAGGTGGAGGACCTCCAGGAAACATTTGCGAAGGACCCATTGGACCACCTCCAGGTCCCATAGGTGGAGGACCTCCTGGTCCCATCTGATTTGGTGGTCCTCCCATATGTCCTGATCCTGGAGGTCCACCCATTTGCATCATCGGTCCTCCAGGTCCTTGTTGCGGTCCTTGTGGTCCGCCTGGTGGCCCCTGGAATCATTTAACAGATCTATTAGACCAAAACCCCGATCAATAAACATGATACTATGGGGTCAATTTTGTCGTTTAACAATGTCAATTTATCACGTGCGTTACGTACAAAATTTAATACACAAGTTTATATAATAAATTGTAAAAAAAAGTCTGTAACTTTATAATATTTTTTAAACTCGATTATCTGAAATGCAATAATATTTATAACTCTTTTGATACTATCAAATGACTGTGACGTAGACATTATTATGACTATCAGAATGATAATAATTTATAACGCATAATTGGCATTGAAAGTAGGAAGAAGTATTTTCCAATAAATATGATGATCGACTATTCAACAGTGCTCGATGCTATAGGCATTCATAATAATTGTAATTCTACAGAATTTTATGTAAATCATTATCAGTGGTACATGTCAGCTGCCAGCAATTGATAACTTCCACCTCGAGATATAACAAAATTTTCCATGATCTACCGTGTCAATCATTTTATTACTATGTTGATATAATGATCCAAATATATATTCCTCTAGCTAAATATAATCTGGGCTATCATCAGTTAGAGTTACTATGAGTGTATGAGTAAAATTACTTATAATTAAAAATGTTTTATTTTTTTAAAAAATCATTCTTTGAGAACATGAAATTTTTCAATAGGAAGTGAGTAATTTTCTTTTAAATGATATTTACATTTTTCTGTACAATTATTGAGTCTATCACCACAATCTAAGCTCACTGTGGAAAAAATACTTCTCCGAAATATTTAAACATAATTTTTCTGTTTGGTTTATTCAACTATCTTGATGATAATTAAGGAGTAAATAATTTTTATCATCACAGTGATTTAAAAATAATTATCTGAGTACCTAATAAAACACAAATTATCAGGAAAAATCATAGGAAGTTGATGAGCAATATCTTGGCCCACAACAAAGGTTGACCATGCTCTTGGAACGTGACTACAAATAGTGTAATGCGTGAACAGTGCATGAGAGTGCCAAGAAAAATGGAAATAAAAACATTCGATTTACCACCAACGTTCATATGACACATAGCTAACACGTGCTAGCCAACCAACACCTGTATCATATCAGACATTAAAAGTGCTGACTTATCTCATATCCATACTCAATTTTATGGCATATGGGTATTATTGTATCCAATAAATCAAATTGTCAATTTTGTAATTAAATTATTTTACAAATATTTAAAAAATGTCTCAAATACAACTAATTTTAGATTTATTATCATATAGTTCTATTTTAAATCATTTCACAGAATTCAAAAGCTATGACAGAATTGGATATTGAAAAATTATTGAAAGATTAGAGAAAATAATAGAGATTAAGTAAGTATTGAAAACATAAGCATGGATAAAATTCTTTAAAATGGTGGGGGTGTGTAGCTTTTGCATAAGTAGTGCGTTTCCGCAAACGTCATGGCACTTGAACGTGAGAGCGAGTAGAATCGTTTAATAGTCATAAAAGTGAAATAATTTTGAATAAATATCAAATTTGATTCCGTTACAAGCCACTCTAAATTCATCTAACAACAAAGTGTAAAAAAATATTTACTTCAGTGAAAAATAAATCACAAAAACAATGACTACTCAACAAGAATTGGACCACTGTTATGACTTTGTTATGAAGTTAACAATAGAATCCGCAAAGGTATAAATTTTTGAGTAAAAAAGAATATGATGATAAAATAAGAAAAGTATGATAACTGTTGGAATTATTTGATTGTCATTTACCTTGAATAATTATCTATTTTGATAGTATGCATAAATCAGCACGTGTTAATAAATTAATTGCTGATAACCAGCATTGTTGCATAAAAGATGCTTTTTTATACAATAAGTGATAAACGTAAAGTCGTAGAAATGAAACACGTGCTGAGTTGAGCTTGTGTCAATCTTGCATGTATAATCGATTCAATTTACTGTGTATAAACAATGATTAGATATTTTAAGAGAATTGACATTAATTCTAGATCATCAGGGAAGCAATTCAAGGAAAGAAAACTATTGAAACTAAAGCTGGTGATTGGGATTTGGTAACTCAGTACGATAAAAAAGTCGAAGCGGTTTTGATTGCTGGATTGGCTAAAGAATTTCCTGCTCACAAGTAAATTTTATTTTTTTACAAGTCGAACAAACTGAATAGAAGATTTTACATTGATTAGTTTTTGCTCATTCAATAGTTCTTATCAGTCGATTAGCTATTTTTCATTTGATTAAAGAATTTGAGTGTAAAGTAATTATCGTTTTGAATAAAAAAAAAATTGATTTATTAAGAATATGATGGACAATAAGCAAATATGATTTTTAGGTTTATTGGAGAGGAAACAGTTTCCAAAACAAATGTTCTACCAGAGCTTACAGCAACCCCAACATGGATAATCGATCCAATTGATGGTACTACAAATTTTGTTCACGCATTTCCACACACTTGCATCTCAATTGCCCTAGCAGTAAACCGAGAGCTTGAGATAGGCATTGTTTACAATCCAGTCCTTGAACAAATGTTTACAGCGCGACGAGGACGTGGTGCTTATCTGAACGGAAAACGTATTAAAAGCTCTGACGTCTCTGGTAATTAGAAAATAATTTTTTATATAAGTCATAGTTGAAAGTTCAAACAAAATACTAATATTGATGAAACGTTATCTCCCAAGACTTGCGACATTCTTTGGTATGCATTGAAGCATCTTATGCTGCAATTGAAGACATCAGAGACATCCTATTGGGTAGAATAGAAGCATTTGTATCAATTGCACATGGAATAAGAACTCTCGGTTCTGCAGCCTTAACCTTATGTCATATAGCAATGGGAGCTGCTGAAGTCTACCATACCGATAATTTAATGCCGTGGGATGTAGCTGCTGGTGTTTTAATCATTCGTGAAGCTGGGGGATCAGTAATTGATACATCGGGTGATAAATTTGACATCATGAAGCCAAAAGTTTTAGCAATGGGTACCAGAAAATTAGAGTCTGAATTAGTAAAGCTTATTCGTGCCGCTGATGCTAAAACCTATCGTAAAAGATTGATGGCTAGCCAGATAGTTGAATAAAAATTTTAATCAACATAAATGGCTTTAATAAAAAATTATTTGTCATCAGCAAATGCGAAAAGTTTGCTAATTCTTCTGTTATTATACATATTGAAGACTCGTCAAGATTGGAGCAGACCAACGATTAATTAATGGCGTTAATTGTTTGAAAGTCAGAGTTAAACTAGCACAAAGACTCCAAGTTAGTTCTCAGGGAGTAAGCAATCTATTCTGGTTTATCTGTTAATACTATTATTATTTATTATTTTCATTCTTTAATATTTGATTAAATATTCAATATTGAAATAATATTTTTTATTATTTATATTGTATAGTGGGCTTCACTGTATTTTTTTTCTAAAAAATACTATATACTAATATTGTTTATATTTAAAACGTTTAAAATAATGTGAAACAGTTAATCAATTATATAAAATTGGATTAAATTCTTTCCAAGTTCATGAAAGTATTCCTAGATGATAGAAATGATAAAATTGACATGTATTTTTGTGATAAATAAATATTAAATTAATTACTCATTTTATTACTAACAATTAAAATAAAATTTAAATTTTCAAATAAAGCATTATAAAAGTAGTGAACAAATAAGATAATACTGATAAAGGAGAAGATTTTCTCGATTGTAAATTAAAGAAAAAAGTTAACATTATAAATCTAGCTTTAAAGACCTCAAGTGTACAGTTTCATACAGGAATTTTTTTACTAAATATATATTGTTAATTGAAAAAAAGTGAATAAAAATTAAGATAATATTAAGAATATTTGTTTGTTTTTTTAAATAAAGTAGAATATAAGTTCCAAGATTTCATATCAGTGACACTTGACTATATTATTATCTTGTTCATAATGTTGATAACGTTGCAAGACATACTGGTTTAACAATATAATCAAATTAATATCAATTAAGTTTCTCCTGAAAACTAGTCGTTAAATAAAGTCTGTTGAAATGACTAATGAAATTGACAAATACTTTGAAGTTGCAAAAAAATTAATTCTTCAAGCTGGTGAGGTAAGTTTACTATCATTATAAATAATAGCAAAATGATAAGTAATAAATATACATTAAATGACTAAGTAAATAATTGTTTCTTTTCTTTCAGAAATTAAAAGATGCTTTAAACAAAGAAAAAATAGTAAAAGTCAAAAATCCTTGTAAGAGTCTAGTTACGCAGTATGACACAGAGATTGAATCAATGCTGATAGCAAGATTGGCTGAAGAATTTCCTGATCACAAGTAAAAAATATAGTTGATTTGATTACTATATGAATCTTCGTATTCTTTATTTACAAAAAAAAAAAAGAATTTCAATGAAGTTTTTCTTTTTAATTTTCATTTAAATGACCATGAATTCTACCATGCAACTTCAATTCAAATTTTCTTACATAACATCTATTCACTCTTCACCTCCTTTGAGATCAAATTATAAAAACATCAAGAATTATCATAATTTTCAAACAGAAAATGAAAAATACGAAGATTTGTTGAGTAACATAATAAATATCAACCAAGTGTAACGATAAAAAAAAAAATAAATCATTTTTTTAAAGATTTATTGCTGAAGAATCCTACAATACTAATGAAGAATTACAATTGACTGATTCACCCACATGGATGATCGACCCTATTGATGGTACAACTAATTTCATTCATGGATTCCCACATTGTTGTATTTCAGTTGGTTTAGCAATAAATAAACAAGTAGAGCTTGGAATAATTTTCGATCCTCATAACAATCAATTATTTACTGCAAAAAGAGGTGCAGGCACTTTTGTAAATGGAAACCAATTAAAAGTATCAAATACGACTAAATTAAAGAACTCGCTAATTATTCTCGAACCATTGACATTTAATTGGATTCCTAAAATGCGAGATATAGGATTAGGGAGAATTGATGCATTGGGAAATGCTGCTGATGGGTTAGTACTAATAAATTATCAATACAACATTTGATTATTCAATCTAAATTCTACATATTAACTTTGGTTAATTTTAGAGTCCGGAGTATTGGCTCGGCAGCAATAGCAATGACATTAGTGGCAAAGGGAGTTGCTGATGCGTTCCAGATGGATCATTTAAAGCCTTGGGATGTTGCAGCTGGATTGTTACTTATTGAAGAAGCTGGAGGAGTTGTTATTGATACAAAGGGTAAATGAAATATTCATCTTTAATATGATCAACTACGTCAAATAAGAAAATAATCACTAGTATCAGACAATAGCAAAAAACAATCGAGTTGAAGATAATGATAGTTCTAGGTTGAGAAAAGTATAAAGTAGATGATTCATTTTTCAGAAAAATAGACATTACATATTATAATGTAGAATGAAGTTTACTTTCAATCTCTCAATTAATCATTCATTTAGAATTCTTGAATGATGATAATTATAAGTGCATTGTAATATGTTGACCTATTTAATCTTAGAAGCTAGAAGAATCTTGTATAATCAATGCATATTCATTTCAATTGGGTTCTGAAAAGTATCTATTACTAATAAGTATGTTTATGTACCATAATTGAATCTGTTCATGAAGTAAGAAAGTAAAAAAAAATAATTACATTGAATAATAAAGTATTTCCTAATAATAGGAGGACCATTGAACATCATGAAACCCCAAGTAATTGCAGCAGCTTCTGATTCATTAGCAAGGGAAATATCAAAGCTTATTATTGACACAGACCTTCAAACACAAAGGAAACGCCTCAAGAAGACTTGACATTACAAATTATTAATTTATTAATGAATTGATATATAAGATGATAGAGCAATGTAAATTTAGATAGAATCAGAATATTGAAGAATAGAATGTTTTCAAGTTGAAAACACATTTAATGTTAGCTTTAGTAACGATTTTCTTATCATTATAAAATCAGAACAATTATTGTTGAATAAGTCTTAATAATTATTAAATAAAATAAATCACCTGTAGTCAGAAAATAGTCTTAGTTACAATAATTATTTCAATTTTACCTAAAATCTGATAATATCCATCTTCGTTTATCTTATCAACAGAAGAATAGAAAAATAATTACAAAATGAGAGTAATACTTTGAAGATAAGAGATAAATTGTAATATACATGCAAATAGCCTTGGTAATTGAAGGAACTCTTACCTTAATTGCGACCTTCGTGAGAGAGAGGAAACTGAACAGAGAGTCAAGACGTTATTTAAGAACGTCATTGACAGTGATATCTTAGTCAGTGTATCAAAGATTCTCGTGTAGGTTAAAAACTGTTTGAAATATTGTAATATACAAAAATATGACGAATCAAGAAGATTATTTTTACGACTTTGCTATGAAATTAGTTCTTGAAGCTGGACTAGTAATTACAATCATCAACTCTCTTTTACCAAATCTATATATTCACGAATGTGTAATAATTTGAGTATTTCTTTTTGAGGTATTAAAAATCAGCATAGAAGCTAAAAAAACGATTAAAGAGAAACAAGGTGATTGGGATCTTGTCACAGAATATGACCAGAAAATAGAAGACACAATTGTAGGAAAGTTAAAACAAGAGTTTCCTAATCATAAATTTATTGGAGAAGAATCAACTGGAGCTAATCTTCCAGAATTGACAAATGATCCTACATGGATTATAGATCCAATTGATGGAACGATGAACTTTATTCACTGTTTTCCTCACACGTGTGTGGTCATTGGCTTGGCAATCAATAAAGAAGTGAGAATTGGAATTGTATACAATCCTATTTTGGAGCAATTGTTTACAGCAAGAAAAGGACGAGGTGCTTTTCTTAATGGACGTCCTATAAAGACATCGAATATCCAAGGTATGTCAATAAAAATAATAAATAACAGAATTATTTGAATGATGATCAACTAACCCATCTATGGCTGAAAATGTTTTACTAATTTTGTTTCAGATATTTCTAAATGTCTAGTTTGTATTGAGCCAGGATTTCTCAAAGTTGCAAGTTTAAAGAATAAAATGTTTGAAAGAATTCAATTAATTACAAAAAAAACTCATGGGTAAGAAAAACGTGTCTATTCATTGTTTCAGTAATGAATGATTTTAAAATTTATGAGCTAATTAATTTTGCATTAGAGTGAGAACTCTGGGAAGTGCAGCTATAACATTGTGCTATATTGCCCTTGGAGCAGTTGAAGGTTATCACATAGAAGGACCAGGAATCTCAACATGGGATATTGCTGCAGCTTCATTAATTATTTCTGAAGCGGGCGGTGTTGTTGTAGATCGTGTAACTGGTAATTGCCCTTCACTATTCACTAGATAATAATTACTATAAGAAAAAAACCTATTATGACAAATTAAAAAAATACTGATAATTACTATTATTTCTCTTAGTAATAAGTCAATCTTTATGTAACGAATGTATTTGTTCTAGGAAAAACTGTTGACATTATGAATCCACGAGCTATTGGTGCTTGCAATGATAAAATTGCTCAAGAATTGGTAAAAATAATTCATGAAGCTGATCGTCTTGCAGAGCTTAATGAATCTCAAGAGAAATTTTAATGAGATCTTTTACTTTATCATGATGCCAAATACAGAAAAGAACCGATTTTTTAATTTAAAAAAAAAGTATCATTTCTTCGGAGTTAATGCATAAATTTTCGTAATTTCTGTAATAGTTGTTAGTCTCAATTCTTACTCAACACAAGCAAAAAGTAGATTGCTGATATAGTTGTCCTCTACGATGACAACTAAAAAGTTCAAATCAATATACCATTATAAATCATTTATATAGTTATTTATTCCTTGTTAATATTCAATCATTGCTCAATAAATAAATAAAAAATGATTTTTACATAAAAAGTTATCAATGAGATCGATGTTAAAAAAAAGATGTGTTCACAGTATAGTTGAGTGAATCAAACTGTACCATAACCTTATTACAACAAAAAAATAGTTTCTCGAGGAGTTATTTTTTCTTAAAGTTAATTCAATGATTTAAAAAATGATATTTTTTAGAAACATACCTGAGGGCCCATATTAGGGGGCATTTGTTGTGTATGTGGTGGATAATTTTGCTGTTGAGGTGGTGGTTGTTGTGGTGGGGGTTGAGACATAGATGGTCCTCCAGGAGGTGGTGGTCCTCCAGGATACCCTTGTGTTGGACTGTGTGGATGATGTTGAGGAGGTCCCATAGGGCTTCCTTGCGGATTTGACGGTGATGGAGATTGTTGAGGAGGTCCCATTGGACTTGGAGCTTGCGGTGGTGGCATAGGAGATGACTGAGGCGATGGACTCGCCATATTGTTTCTATCAGACTCCAGCGTATTCTTTAATTGATTTCTGTGAAAACACTCGATCAAATTAATTGTTATGCCAATCTTTTATTTTGTTTCGAATTTTTTATATTTATAACAAAAGTTTTGAGTTGATAGAAAAATAGTTTGACTACCTTGAATTCATCTATAGTTAATGAAGATATTTGTTATGCATACGACTGAGAAGTGATGTAATATTTTTACCGTGGTCACAGTATTAATGATGAAGAATCTAAATAATTTTTTGGAGTACCCATGCGATAAAACGGAACAATTTAAAACGATCACTTTGAAAAAAATACAATACTGACAAGTCAAATTCAATACAAGCGACCAGCCATCTTTCCAATTTTTATGATTATACAGCGGCTTCTTGTTCCAAGAAATTTTTATCTTAGGTGGCGCTAGCTGTAAAGTTTACCTCTGTCGGTATATTATTATTTACTGAAAAGAACATAAGTGATGTAGAAAACCTGGCGGTGTATTTGAAAATATATTTTAACAGATTGATAGAATAACATTTTAGATATATAAATGTTTTTTAAAAATAATATTGTTCCGAAAAAGATAAAATATCTATGTAAATCTTATAATTAAAGTATTTGTGTCAATGAAAAATAAGAAATATCATTGAAAAAATTTTGTTTGTATTCAGTTTCATTATACATACACATGCATTGGATTAGTTTAGTGGAACTCATTCCAGCTGATTATCGGAGTGATGGCTACGTTAGCTAAAATCAAAAATTTGGTCATTCCATTGGCATCAGCACATAACAGAGTGCTTTTTAATGCTGTTCGAAACAGTAAGTTTACAGCTCAGCCCGAATATTATTTGAGATGTTTCACAACTTTTCAATTATAACATTTGATAAAACAATAGGTTAGGAAAATTAGTACCCATTTAATAACTGAAAACGAAAAAAAACATGACAGATTAATTTACAGATTGTATTTTGCATAATATTTACTTTATTGTACATATTTAAATAGCTTTTTCAATTTTTGTTTCATGTCATTCACATTAGAATATAATTGCGTAGACAAAATGTTTTTTTGTATTGAATTGAAATGACTACATTCATTATATAACTTCAGTACTCTTAATGTATATTTGATGTTTTCATTTTCTAATCTATAATCTTTTTTCCAGAGGTGATGACTAATTTTGATTATATGCCGGGTCCTTATCCAAAAACCGAAGAGGAAAGAATACAAGCTGCGAAAAAATACGGCTTACATCCTGCTGAATATAAACCATATCCTGAGGATGGATTAATTGCTCCGGGTGATTATCCTGAGCTTCCAATGATAGCAGTTAGTCAAAAAGATATCAATTATCCATGGGATGATCCTGATGAAAGAAGGAATTACGAAGAACCGGTAAATACCGCATCAATAATCATGATTATGAAAAAAAAATTGTTATTTAAAATTCATGAGATTGTTGACAAACTTATTGTTAATTTCACTTGACATATTTTAATTCAAAAAATTATTTTTTACAGATTCATTTTAATATGAATCTTTTACAAGAAGATAAAACTGATATAGGAGAAATCCCTTTTTATGAGGATTGGAAAGTTCCACTTTATTTTCTTGCTTACATGATCGGTGGATGGGTGATATTTAGTCTTGCATGGAAACTTCCTCGTTTTCAACCAAGAGTAAATATTTTAATTCTACATTTAAATAATATTTGGATGATTTTGAATTTTTAACAAGTTGATACTAAAAATATTAATGAAAATTTAATTTGGTCAATTTTTAGATGGAAAAGCAAATGCCATTTGGAAAAACTGGAAGAAAACATTACACATTTGAACCAGCTAAATAATTAAATAAAGCATTTTGGAATAAATCAGTAGTTGAAAAAACAATAAAATAAATATTTAAATAGCCCTTAAATTTATATAAGATTAAATAATCAATAATTATAGAGCATTATTGTGAATAAAAGATAAAATAAATTGATCTTTCCAACTCATTGAATAAATTTTTTTTAAATAAAAAGCAAGAAAGATCATATCAAGCTATCGAATCGACAGATGGTAATTCTAGAATGATTCATATTAGTAAATTCTAAGTGTATTCACTGAATGTCATATGTCAGTTATAAGTTTTTTGCCCATTTTTAGATGTTTTATAATAAAGGCTTGATAAAATCGAAAAGCAGTTACAAATGATTTTTCATAATGAATCGATCTAATCAATTACCGAACTTGGAAAAATTATTTAAGGATGATGACGAACAGGATTTTGTTCCTCTTGGCGGGTATGTTGTTTATGATATCAACGTTATTTTTCTCTATTAATATTGTTTAAAATCTAATTATTTACCAAATAAATTCCAGTTATAGTCTGTAGAATTTTCTTTTCATTATTGTCCATATAATAATAACAGTCGGTAAATAGATTTTTTGTTTCGGTTTTTTTCATACCGGGTGTTCAGAAAATACATAATAATATTTAAATGCAAATAATCTAATCAATAATCAATTTATATTATTATAGATCAAATTTAGCTGCAATCTTTGGGACGTCTAAAAAATCTGAAGAGCCAAATACTTCTGTAAAAGCTAACAAAAAGTTAAATGCTCCAAAAAATACTTCTCAGTCTGCTTCATCTTCAAGTCAAACAGAAGTAATATTAGCGAAAGCTGTTCATGTTTATAAATTGTAAGATCTCGCTTTTTATCAATTAGCATTGGGATAATTTTATTAGTAGTTAATATTCTCTTTCTTTCAGACAAAATGGACAATATAAACTTATAGGAAAAGTTGGACTTGCATTGACAGCAAATGTTTCTTCAAAAAGTTATTTATTAATATTATACAAAAACAATAGAGAACATATTTCGGTTCTAACTTTAACGAGTGACTTTAAATTTTCAATTCAAGAAAATAATTATGTCAGTTATTATGATGGCTATAATGATAATTGGTCTATTTTATTTGACAGTAGTGAGAGCTCCATTGATTTTGCAAGAGAAGTTGGTGTGTCAAAATATTTTTTGCAGCAGGAAAACAATAATGATTCAATATTTTATCAAGATTTAACTGTCTCAAGTAAAGAACATGAAGCTAAAGAAGGCGACAGTATTCATTTGAAATACTCCATTATTACGCATATCACTCAGCCATTAAAAGTATCTGTAATTCCTGTTCAAGACATGATTGTTCAAATTTCAACAGATGACAATTGGGAGCGCTCTCTTTTAGGCGTAACTAAAGGTTTAAAAAGGATTTTATTTTTACCCCCAAGTAAACAAATAAGTTTAGGTCCCGGATTTCCAAGAGAAAGAAATATAGCTCTTGAAATAGAGATTATAGATATTGTACCACTTGATGTTAAAAAAAGTCCAACGTCAAGATCAGGTGGGAAAGCTTCTTTGATATCTAGAATGGCCAAAATGGGCCAATCAATACTTCCTCAAAAACCAATGTCAACGACAACTGATTCCGAGGATACAGAAGAAGAACCTCATGTCAAATCACCACGACGGGTCAAAAACTCTTCATCAGAAGCTTCTCCAAAAGCTTCTACAGATGTACATACTTCTTCTTCGGAGTCTCATGAAAGCTCAATTAAAGTGCCTACTAATGTTGCTTTACCGCGTACATTTATTCCTTCATCAGCGAATCCTAGTCCACACGGTACTCTTGTTCCGGCTGGAACATTTACACCTCCATGGCCAGCAGCTCCAATTCCAGTAAGAACATTAATAACTTTAATAGAAATATTTTTAAACACATTTATTAAATAGTACAATGTTACAAATATTCTTGTGATTAATTTGTTTTTGTAGCAACAGTACATGTCAACATCAGATGGTCAATTATATTCCTTTCCAGCTACTGTACAACCTGCCATAGATCCAAATGTAAATGTTTTTCTCGCAGAAACTCGTACGCACAATGCAGAAATTAGAATGGGAATGTCTAAAATTGCTGATAATGTTCAAAAATTATTAGATAAATTTCATGTACTCGAACTCCAAAACGCTACTTCTCCAAGCAATGACAAAGCTCTTGAAACATCATTGAGAATGTTACTAGCGCTGAATTCAAATAAAAGTAATGAAATAGTTCATGAAGCTGTAAATACAGATGGAAATTCTAAAACCAAAGATGACTTACATTTAGAAAAAATAAAATCGCTGGAAGATGCATTAAGGATTACAAAAAATTCATTAGAAGATAGTTTAAATAAATTGAAGCAAACAGAAGTAGATAAAAAAGAATTTGATAGAGAAAAAATAGAACTGAAAGAAAAAATTCATAAGTTAGAATCATCACTATATGAGTCACATGATAAACTGCAGAAATCACTAATAGACATAAAAACTACTAATGATAATTTAATACAATGCCAAAAAGATTATGCAAAATTAGAAGCAAAAATGATTACTTTAGAAGCTGAAAATAAAGTTTTAAAAAAAAATACTAATTCTAAAAATAAAATTTCCATTCATGAAGACCATGAAAAAGCAACAGAAGTAAAACTCATTATGAACAAAATGTATCAGACGTTAATATCCCAATTTACGGAAGATTCTTATCAAACTGATTATATAAAAAAAACTATTGCTAATACAATGAGAGTAAGAATTATGACATGATCATTATCTAAAAGAATGTGAATAGTTTATAAATTTTAAATTATCATTCCAGGCGATAACATTACAATGTTTGAAAGAAAAAAATAATCAAGTAGAAAAGCTTTCTGATGTAGAAACAAAAGATATTAAGGCTGATGAAACATTAACGATTGAAAATTCCAAAACTACTGAGGCAGAAGAAACCATTTTTTTACCTGCTCTTGATAGATCTTTCGATCCAGAAGAAGATGTAAGTATATTTTTTTAATATCTAAAATGAGAATGAAAATTATTTATTTTTAAAAATTTAAAACATTAAAAAAAATTATCAAATAACATTCTTTTAGATTGGAGATGGTCAAAAACCACCTCCAATACCTCCAATAGATCTAGATGTTGACAACGATTGGCTTCCATAATTTTAAAATAATTTAACTTGGATCAAATAGATCTACTTAAATTAACTTGCAATAATCTTAATGAACATTAATGAAAAATTATAAAAGCATTTAATTATGACAATTGAAGTAAATAAAATATTTTAATAGAATGACGATTACTTATTCATCACCCGGTATATACACCAAATGAAGAACCAATAACAAAAGAAAAATTTTCTCTCAATTGTGTAGAGTGCGCCCTGAATCGTTTGTGTAAAAAATAATTGCTGATAAATTTGTTTTGTATGAATAATTTTTTTTCAAGTTGGTGATTTAATAATTTTTAAAAAGTCTCAAACAATACGCCGATAATGAACATCAAATTCATAAATAAGGCACATGTTTAAGTTCAAGTTATGGAAAAATTATAACGGTATGTACGACATTTTATTATTCTCTTAGCTTTCGTACATTGTTTATACATATTGTTGAAAAGTAATGTTGTCTTTTAGAAACAATGGATACTTTGAAGTTTAAAATTGATTTCAAGTGAATGTTTTTGCTAATTTATCCGGTTCACGAGAAAAAAACTATTCGTCTGAGCTCACGGTTGACAATCTTGGCTTCTACCACGCCAATCATTGTACATATAACCTCTTCAATGATGTTAAAAATCACCTTATAATCATTAATTGTTAATGAAATGATGATTTATTCATATTTAATCATTAATTTACATTTTTTATTTCAATTTATAACCTATAAACTTCATTTTTTAACTGATGAGTCTTTATTAGCATATGTCTATGACTAAAAAAGTTAGCAACCTAATCAATGATAAATTTTAATTTACAATTAAATGCAATTAAAAAAAAAATATTGAACTAATTTATTATAATTGTAGTTCATACATTGAAATTGTTTTCAGATTTCTATATCTTATTTAAATAATGGAAGTCAAAGCTGCCGAAGATGATATATCATTTCATTTGGGAGAAATGTTCAATAGCTATGAAGAGCTAGAAAACAAACTGGAAAAATTTTCTAAACGTAGTTTAGTACATTATTGGAGAAGAGATAGTAGAACAGTTAGTGGGGCTCACATGAAAACTGCGAGACCTATTAGTGAACGATTGAAGTATTATTCTGTAAAATATGCATGTATTTATGGGGGTCAGAAATTTCTTCCAAGAGGAGCAGGCAGAAGACAGTCTCAGTAATTTTCATATTTTCTATTTACCTTCATTACAAACACAAGTTATGGAATAAAATTACATTTAGATCGTACAAATTTTCTATCACGAATAAATGTAAAGTAATACAATTAAAATCAGCAAATTATAATATCAAAACCGTTGATTTTATAAAGTTTTCTCATATTTAACCATATTAGTCAATTAATTAAATATCCTTTCTACAGGTCTATCAGAACAAATTGCCCAGCACATATTATGTTAAGAGCGTCCAAAGATGGAACTAAATTAGAAGTTACCAGTGTAAATAATGAACATAATCATGAAATATCAGAGGTGTGTTATTAATTATATAATAATATTCTGAAGAAATGAATTATCTAATTTTATACATTGATTTTAGGAATTATTTAAAAATCTTCCACAAGAAAGGAAGCTTTGTGGAGAAATAAAACAAGAAGTTCAAGACTTGATGCAGTTACATATAGATCGTAAAAGGCTCAAAGAATATGTCAGGTTACGGACTAATAAAATTCTACGGTCAAAAGATTTATTTAATATTGCAGCTGCGAATAAACACAAAAAAGAAATAACTCCAGAGCGGGCGTATCAATTATTTAAAAGAATTCATGATTTAGAAAAGCTTCAAGCAAAAGAAAGCGGGCGAAAAGTATTTTCAGAATCAGAAGAAGAAATGAATCATTCAATTAAACGGATGAAAAAAGAACCACCAGCATCACCGTGGGGTCAAGAAGTTAGTATCTATATTTCTAAATAAATTATTTGTTTAATAATTTATTCAAGTATTATTTTTCGCAGGAATTATCACCAGAACTAGAGGTTAGTGAAGGAAATGATGGCGAAGATTCTTATACTCAGTTATCTCAAGAAGAAGTTGTTGATGATATTGGAGATACCGCTGAAGAGCAACTATTAAGTGCTAATAATGGAGGAGATATTATTACAGCAAATGGTGAGATCGTCGGCGAGTTAGTGATGGAAAGTGGTGATCCTTCTGTAATAGTTGAGTCTATTGTCAATGCAGATGGCTCGGTTTTTGTGGACGAACGTGAATTCAATAGTTATTGCGATGATCATTTAAATCACTCTTCAGTAGAAGATAATCATTCAACTGGACATCAAGTTTTGGATATTGAAACAATTTCGAATTCCATTGAAATAGATAAGCTTTCAAAAACTACTGCAGCTTCACCTACACCTGCGCATTTGATGGACACTATAACTTCACCACTTGCGAAATCTCCTGGAGTAGGAAACGATTCTCAAGATGAAAGAATTTGGATTGTCAAGGAAACCGCTGAAGAAGTTGAATCGGAAAATTGTGTTGAAAATGATCTTAGTACAACCAAAATAAAAACTTCTCATGTTGAAGGTCATAATGATGTTGGAGAAGTAGTTTTTTCTGAAGAAGCGAGCCATCAGTTGTTAATAGAACAGTTGGCAGTTTTGAGGGCAGAAAAAGGAAAGCTTTACCATGAAACTGAAATGTTGAAGCTGAAAAAAGATAAGCTTAAGCTTCAAATAAACTGTTATACAAATGAAATTAGGAAACAAGAAATGGAAAAAGAAAAGTTGAGATTAGAAATAAAATTATTACAGTCTAAGGTTGTGGATGATTCCAACGATGTCTCTCACTATATTTTTGTGCCTTGAATGAGGCGATATATATTTTTAATAATTTATTATTATTGTATATAATAATTAAATGAATAAGGGTTTATTTGATAAACTGGAATTAAATGATTTTAATCAGACAGATAATCTATAAAGTTGGAAATTATTAAATTTTTGTCTTCGTCAGCTATAATTATAATAAATAAAAATGTGAAACCGACTCTGTATTTGTAAGCTGTTGATACACAATGACTTTGTATTAATACATTATATGATTATGAATGCAAAGAACTAACGAAATTATGAAATTAGAATACTATTAAAATATGCTGGTAAAATAAATTATTTTCAGAATTAAAAGTTTTAAAATATGTTTTAACGCTAAATTCAAATATCAGAAATAAGACTTTGTTTAATCTTTTAAATTATGCCTTTAATTTATAAAAAAACATAAAAATTATTTTTTAAGGCACATGTTACTTTTATATTCCTCTAATAATAATAATTTTTTTTTATTTATGTGAATATGTTTATTATTTTTTGTTAATTTATCAAAATTTTAATCCTTATCTATATTATTCCTTATGCATATTAATATTAATGATACTTTTAAAATATCGAATAAAATATGATCTAATGCAACATATATCTATATAGTTTATGTAGATATGAAGTACTTCATGTGACGCCGAATCCGCGTTTTTGAGCTTTTACGCAAGGTAACATTTTGCGTTCCACAGTTTTCATTTTGGAATTATTTACGTACATGATTTACTTTGAAACTAGTCACAGTAAATAACAATATTTTTTTTCATAATTAAGAAAATGTTTAAACAATCATTAAAGCTGTGGACATCAGTAAATCATATATCAAGTATGTATTTAATCCTTTATATAACCTATAATTTTCGTAGATTATAAGTAAAGTTTTTAGTTGCTTTTAAACATTTATATCAAGTGAATACTAAATTGATTATAAAAATAATGTTTAAGATACTGCGTAGTGAAATCATAATTTTAATTGACTATCATTTAAATACATAATTATAATTTGAACTAAAAATTTTCTTTATAAATTTTGTTGACAGGTTTGTTGAAATGTCCCACTTATTGTACACAAACAAATGTTAAACATAAATGGGATTTATTGAGTGCAGTTTGTGTGGAAAGACATCCACTAATTAGTACTCCAAAATCGAAAATAGAAGAAGCTTATCAGGACTTACTCAATCAAATAGAATTCGAGCAAAGTTTTCTTTGTGATCATGAATTAAAAATACAAGCTGAATTAGAAACTAAAGAAAAATTGAAAAAAGGATTAAATATTCTAGATCCAGATGATGTTTCAATTGAAAAAGCTTCAGATATTGAAGATAAAGGCGATGCTGAATTAGAAGCATTTAAATTTTCACCAAGAATTACGGAAGCTGATACGAAAAATATTCAAACATCTTTAGAAAGAAAGCTTGATAAACCTTTGTTGTTAGTTGTACAACAACAAGTTGGGGACAAACTTTTTTGGTTGCCTCCTCAAGGAGTTAGACAAGAAGGAGAAAATATGAGACAAGTAAGCAATATCAGTTTTTAAATTGCCACTTTAATTAAATAAATAGTAAGAGTAAAGTTTAAATTAAATATCTCATTTATTATGTTTTAGACCGCGGATCGAGTGTTGAAAACTCTATGTGGAGACAATGTAAACATAAAAATTTATGGTAATGCACCAGTTGGATTTTATAAATATGCATATCCAAGACCGATGAGAGAAACTGGTAAATTTGGAGCAAAAATCTTTTACTACATCGGAAAATATATTGATGGAGAAGTGTCGAATACAGCGAAATATTTATGGTTAGATCGACAAGAGTTAGCAGATAATCTACCAAAGCCAATTCATAAAAGTGTTTCTAAATTTCTGATACCAGAACAAACACTTGATTATTAAGTGAAAATTAAATTTCAACGTAAGTTTTGTAAATAATTTATATTTAAATACATTTAAATAGAAACTTTATTATTAGTAAACAGAGTTATTTACAGCTATTTTTCTAAAATTTACGCCATTTAAAACCACAACGTCTTCTTCCTGTATACACAGTATCTTCTTTAGTCTCTTTTCCTTGTCTTCGTCTTCTCTCTTTTTTTGCCAAGATCCAATTTGTACCCTTCAATGATTTTCCTCGAGAATTTTTTATTCTTTCCCTTTCTGATTTTTTAATAGTTGTAGATTCTGACTCATCACCTAATGGCGTAGGTAAAGGCATATTTCCTCCAGTCATTAACACTAAGAAAAATTTTTTAGCTTTTGTACTGTTAGGGTAATCAACTACTACTCCACCAAAGAATCCTGCTTTAGTTGCCTGAGTTGTTACCAATTCTATTTGATCACTATTTTCAGGATAAAATTGAAATACAGCTCTTGCTGATCTTGATAGACAAGCAAAAAGGGTCGAAAAAAATTTGTAAAGTCTTTGAATAGGATTATGTGATTTCTTATCAGCATTACAAAGCCATTGAAGAGCTGAAATGCTCACAGCTCCATCAAAACTTCCAGGTCTAAATGGCATTCCTTGGCCCATATCACAAAGAATTAAATCTCCTTCGACTTCTCGTTCCAAAGCAACATCTACATAGCACATTATACAAATTCTTTTTATTATGTTTATTATAAATATCATAAAGAATAAGATTGAAGCTTACTCAGCATAGCCGAAGATATATCTAAGCCCACCCATACATGTCCTTGATCTTCTAAAACACTCCCACTAAGTCCTGAACCACAGCCAATATCCAAAAGGAAACAAGGCTCATCTTCAGGAAGTAAAAGTAATTCAATAGCTCGTTCACACATTTGAACTTGAATATCAATCATTCTGGAGCTGTAATGATCAGTCAGTTAGCATTAAACCTTTCTTTTATAGTCAAATATTTTAACTTACTTTTGGGTATATTTCTTAGCCTCTTCTTCATTGTAAAACTGTCAACAAATAGTTGATAAATATTTAATTAAAGTTATTAATTGCTAAAAAACATTTTAAATATAACAAAAAATAAGAAGGTTCTCTACAATTAAAAATACGTTACTTTATTAGAGTCTTACCACTTCGGGAGGTGCTAAATGCTCTGGTCTCCTTGACATATTGCACGCTATTATTTATATAAATTTATGTTTAATGATAACTTCGATATATTGTTAAAAAATTATGTATCAAACTAATTGACATTTGGTAGAAAACACGTGTTTAATAAGGTTATGATTGTTGACAAAAAAGTGCCTCCCCCTACAACTCAAAAACTTATCTGCCCTCTAGTAGCCAACAGTGTCAACGGTTTGTTGCTTTTTCGCGGCAAAGAGTGTCTGTACTGTACACATTGTGCAGATCAGTGTACGGATTGTTTAAAAGACGAATTCAAGGAAAGGTGTGCCAAAAATCAGCTTAGATGACTTAAATAAAACACGATGTTTGTGGATAACCTCAGGAATGATTTTTATAATGTAGTGCATGGAAATGTAAGTTTTTTTAAACCGTTTTGTTAAGTAGGTTAATAATAGTTTTAACAATCATTAAGGTTAATCAAACGCATTCAAATGTTTTATTAATTGTTTATCTTTATATTTAAACAAAATCGAAAATATTATTACCCTTGTTCAATGAATTTTTTTTATTTAAACAAATCCAAAGATATAGATAAGCTAAAATAATAATGAGTACAATATTCTTTTCAGAGATGTTTACTGCTCGTTAATTTTGACATTGATGCAATTTGTGCTTGTAAAATACTACAACAGCTTTTTAAAAATGATAACGTGGTATATACCCTTGAACCAGTGCAAGGCATCCAAGATATGGTCAAAGCTTATGCAGATAATTGTGAAGAGGTAAAAAATTCTACATTACTTACATTTCTTCTTTCTTATTACTGTTTATTTATTAATCATAATTTTTGGTAATTTTTATAATAAATTAATTTTATCTTTTAATTTTTCATAGAAAATTTTTAATTTTGTTCAATTTATTGACAATAGAACTTCGTAACATATGTAGCTCATACAAATAACGATATTCATATCAATTTCTCGTTTTTTACCTCAACATAATATAAAATGTATTATTATTATTTTTTCAGATCAAATATGTTGTAATGATAAACTGTGGTGCGACAATAGATATAGTTGAGCTTTTAGAACCACCTGAGGACACAATATTTTTTATCGTAGATAGCCACAGGCCTTATGATCTTTGTAATATCTATTCTGAAGGTCAGATACGTATTCTTGGCAAACCTGAAGAAGATGATGAAATTCCTGAGTACAACGAAGTCTTTCGTGAAGATTCGGTAATAAATTTTTTTTTATAATTTCCTACCATTATACAATTGACTATTTTTTAAGTAACAATTTTTTTCTATGTAGTCTGATGATGAAAATCCGGATGTCGATTCCGAGAATGAAGGAGAAACCCAACAAGCAAAAAGACGCCGTTTGAATGAAGATGATTTAATGAGGAGAAGAGAACGGCGTGAGTGGGAAGAAAAACGAGACACAATTCTCTTTAATTATATGCAGTACAGTTATTACGGTAAATCTAGTGCGGTTATATTATTTGAAATGGCATGGAAAATGTCAAAAGACAGTATAGATATGGTATGGTGGGCAATAGTTGGTGCTACAGAACAAACAATACTCGGTAAAATAGAATCTGGTATAAGTGTTCTTGAATCCGGTAATCTTCAAGGGCATGTATCTCGACTAAGCCATAGACAAGGTGTTGATGCTGAAAAACAGCAGCAAAGTGCAGTGAAAGTGACCTATGATAGAGATCTCCAATTAGCTCTTTATCGTCATTGGACAGTTGAAGCGAGTTTAAGACATTCAATGATAACTGCAGTTTCACTACGTCTTTGGTCTTTACGAGGAGAAAAAAGGTTAAGAGAACTTTTAGCTGAAATGGGATTACCGCTTGCTCAATCAAAACAACGATTTTCTGCAATGGATTTAAATTTGAGACTAGAATTTCGTCAAATGGTAGAAAAATTAGCATCAAAGTACAAAGTTGATAGTGTCATTGGCGCTAGTTTCACTCTTCAGTCTGGATATCGATTTAAATATTGTGCATCGGATATTGTTTATGCAATGCTTGCACTCCTGGAGTCGTCAACAAAAGACCGTCTACCTCAGCATTGTTTTCTCGACGCTCTCGATTGTTTATCGCGTAAGAAAAAAGATATCTTAGAGCGTGGAATTGAGAAAGCAAAAATGATGCTGAGTAATATCTTCAAAACAGCCCAAGGGATTTTAGAAATGAAACAGGTGATGAACGCTGGAACGTTCCTTTACGTCATCATCCCTGAGGGTTCTCTCGACAGTCGTTTATTTGCTCATCCACATTCTCTTTTAATGCTCGCACAATTTACATTAAAAGCGTACGTAGAAACTTCAAGGAATAGAAATGCACGCGGCTGGCCACTCCTCGCATCAGCAACTTTTAATGCTGAAGAAGGAATGTGTATTTTAGTGGGCGTACCACCTGTGTGTGAAGATCAGCCGAAGAGTTTATTTGGAAAAGCATTCGAGCAAGCTGCGAAAAATACTAATTCTGATATAGAAACTGATTACTTTGATACCACAAGTAAGTAGATACTTTTAATTATTATGCTGTTGAAGCTAAAACTTTTAGTGTGAAAGTAAGAAGAATCCATCGATTATGACTAGTTTAATTTAACTAAAAATTAAGTAATTATTTTATCAAAGTTTTTTAAATTTAATTTAAAACTTTTAATGACGTTGAATTAATCCCAAAAATTAATTTGTTTAATTTTTTTTATTGCAGTAATAAGACTGAAGATTGAAGAACGTCCAAAGTTTTTTGATGCCTTAGCCGCTCTGCTTACATGAGTTCTAGGACTTCGTTTGCATTTAGTATTTATTTTTCACTCATAATCATTTTATTGTAGCAATATATCAAAAGTCATTTATTTTTTATATTTCATGGACTAATTTAAATATTAATTTCATTTTCGACATTTTTTCTTTTTATGTAAATAGACGTGATTTTATTTTTAATTAAACGACAAATTTAGCTTTAATCAACTTAACAATTTTTCCGCACTTAAAAGTGCATGAAGCAGATAAGGAATTTTCGATGAATGTCTGATTAAAAATTAATAAATTCAAGTAGTTTGTATATAAATGATAAAATCATGAGTCAATTATTTTTTGTCAAGCGAGTTTTGACGTATGACAATATTTTAATGCCTTACATTAGGGACCAAACATACACTATTATATAATATCCACGACATATTAAATGAAAATTTAATCGTAAATTTGTTGTAAATAATGTTTAAATGATTGGAATAAAAAATGTCGTAAGTTGTATGATTTGAGACTAATTTTATTAAATACTGTTCAATGCATACTATAATTTATAATACAATTTTATATTAATTTTAAATCATAAACAAATACATTTTTTACATTATTGGCAGTGTGTAAAGATATTTTAAGTACTTTAAATAGTTGTTTTCTCATTTTTTGAAGATTTTTGCACTGCAGCTATTTTATTTATTGGTAGTTTGTCATTTCTAAAGCCATCAACAAATTGCTGAACAGAATCTACTGTTATTTCTGCACCGTCTTCCATCACAGCATAAATTCCTCGTGGGATATCAATGGCAGTGAGCAATGGTACCGCGTCATCCAGTCCTACAAATTCTCGTAGAATGTCCGACGTTTCGCACTAGAATAAATGTGAAGAGTCATTTATAATAAAAAATGGAATTTTTCCGTAAGATTATCTTTTTTGTTTATGGGTTTAATATTTTATATCAAAATTCCTTGAGATAGTTATGAATATTGCATCTAGTATAGTTTAGCTTATTTGGAGTATTAATATCTCAAATCGTTTTAACTGTCTTCAGTTATTCATAAACTAAAGTTGATAAATATATATTAGTACTTCAATCGAAGTTGACGAAAACTTTGATAACATTCTGTTAGTTTAACTGATCAAACTACCTCAACATGATTAATAGAAGATTGAGTCGAGGAACGATACTTCTCAATTATTACTTGTAATTATGACTCTTCTTATGTTAAAGTTGTAAGAACTACAAGTATTATATGATTCAAATGGTGATGTTTACATAAGTTAATCCGTCAACTTTTTTATAATACTAATAGCTAACATGAAGTTATGGAAATTTATGGTGATGTAACGAAATTATCGATATAAACTTACGTCTAAAGCGATGTAAAATTGAAGCATATCATCAGGATCATCATAATTGGGATCATAGTCTGGTTTCTCTCTCCTGTAAGCTTCTGCAGATGGTAAGAGAACACTTTCACCAAATTGAATTTCACAGTCTTCACCCTCTGAAGCTTCAAACAAAGATATATCCGTAAGCAATTTTATTTTCTCTACTAACGATTTTGATAAAAATGATAAATAGAAAACAATAGATATCTTACTCACCAACAAATAAAATTATTGCAGGAGCATCGTGCAATGATGTGGCGTATTTTTCGGTTAAAATGTTAACCAGTCGGGTGGTCCAGGGGAAATTCTAGAGAGAAAAAGAAGAGAAATCAGTTGACTAAGCTAAAATAAAGAATCATGTTGGAAGCACAAAGTGAGAAAAAGAGAACACATTACCAGCCCCTCAGGGTCTTCTAGAAGTTCTCCACGACCCTCAAGAGTGATGATATTGTCCCGAGGATCGAGGATGACAAGTGTAGGTATCGCTTGAACATCGAGGGCTATTGCCAACTTTTTCCTTCGCTCTTCATGTCCAAACGGTATCCTTAACCATGGCATCGATTCAATATGTACGTTATAAGATTCTTCACTCCTGAAATGACATGGGAATAAATTAATAAATGTTCACAAGAGCCACATATTAAACGTTGTGGTTTAAAATTTTTACTACTAAATATATATATATATATATATATATACATTTCTTTTAATTTTTAAAAACGTATCCATATGTAACATCAAATTTATGTACGCTCAAATATCATATAGCCGAGAGAGTTGCCTAGAGTAAGCTTAAAAATTACCTGATGCAGTGGTAATTTATTAGTACTCTCTCTCGTGAATTAGTCGCAACCACCCTAAAGTTTTTTCCCTATTATCTTTTCACTCATTGTGCTTGGTGGAAGTAAACAGAGAAAAATAGACATTGTATACCAGCAGTGAGCTGTTGCGAAAATTATAAATAATAACAGTTTGCGACATTTATCAAAAATAATTAATTATTATAATTATAATGCCATTAGTCTATAACATTAAAAGGGTGTTTTAGGTAGAAAAGCTAAATGAGAAAAAATTTTTATGAGTTTTAAAATATAATTTTAATCTATTTCAAAACACATTTGATGGGTAAACATCATGTCATTTTCGTCATTGTGTAAGAAAAATAATTTTAGAGTTGTTTTTTATGTAGTCATCATTAATTCTGATATCATTATAATTGTTAGAACTTTTAAAGGGAATAAATAGTTAGGTAGTACATTGTTAAAGCAATTGCATCATCAGTTTAGTGAACCTTGCCCCATGCTTGTAAGCTATAATAAGGGTTATTTGTAGACTAACGATAACAAGATATAAAATCAGATTTCATTAACGAGTACATAACCGTACATTACATAAAGACATATTATATGCAATGACTTTACATAGTAGCCACTTTGGATATTATTCAGAGTCACTGCAGTTATATTAAAGATAAGCGAGACGCAAAATTCTAAGTAAAGCAAGTTTTATCATTTTCTCCTCTCCGCTTTCCTCTCGCACTCCTTTATAACCCTGTTGGAGCTTGGTGTCCGGACGATACTACATCGATTTTCCATAAAGCTTCATGAAAGCCATCCGTGCAACAATCACCCCCTGGAGCTTACTTTCCCTACACGGTTTTCCCCTTCATTGCTGTTGAAATCAAATAGCTGGCAATTTTATAACTCAGTTTTTTTTCTTCATGTCATAGGTTTTGGATCCTCAGACGTATACGTCTGTTACAAAAAAAAACAGCAGAAAATGAAGCTTGTAAAGGCATAAGGCAGAGTTGCTGTGAGGCATGAGTGAACAAAGAGACAGGGCTTCTTCACCAAACTCTTGTGGATTGCAGCCAATGTAAGCTTCAAAAACGTGTAGGCAAAGGAAAGCGACGCTGAGAGAAAGAGAAATCTAGTGGTAAGTGAAAAACGCTCTAGGCCGTTTGGGTTTTCACGAAACGCTTGAACTTTCATTCGAGAACGTTTGAAAACTACACGTTGGTTATAAAGAGAAATAAAGAAAAAAAGGGATCCAAGTATTTTGAACTACTTTCTCAGATCTCGTTTTCCGTTTGTAGGAAATTTAGTAGGGTATATAAAGATGGTAGGCATTGCTACTACTACTGATACCCCACTGAATATCAAGGGCTGAAGCAAAACTCTATACTCCCACCAAGAGAGGACGTTTTTCTTGACTGTCGGCCGTAAAAAGGAACCCTTGGTATAATCAGTAATTCCCCGCGTGCCTTTCGCTGATACTCTAGGGTTGGTAGGTCCTCTTGCCGTTGCCTTCACCCTCCAAGCCATTGCCATTATCCGAATAATGTTCTTTTCTCTACCGTCGAAATGTATAGTAGTATACTACCAGCCCTCGTGCAAGGCTTTCTTTTAGATTCGATAAAATAAAACTGAGAGGACATGAGCAAAGTGCGGGTGTAGATCCATGAAGAGAACAACAGTAATTAAATTGAAATGCATCTTAAAAATGGCTTTGTGTCATATTTATTAATTCATTTTTATCCGCTGGCGAGTTATTTAAATCATATGAAGCTTTACATTCATTATGAAATTGTCGCTATTTACGAGACTATTCATTACTGATTAATTAATTAACATTTTATTTTAAATATATGGATTGGTTTGTATGAATGATTACTAGGTAGAACAAAGAAAATTAGTTTCAGAATAGAAAGTTGAAACTAACTGGAGTAAAACCACCAATTATTGGTATGCTAACTTTAATTATTACTAGTTCTGGTAATTACTAGAGTGCTAATAAATGATGTATTGACAGAAAGTAGAATTTCACTGATCCAATAGCCTTAAATAGTAATTTTCAATCATTCTTTTTTTTTTTTTTTGAAGTAAAAGCAAAATTATGTTAAAATTTTAAAAAGGTACTTTACCGATCAGAGCTGACGAATATAACTTCAAAATTGTGACCTCTTTCCCTTATTCGTTGATAAGTATCTACCAATTGTGGAGTAAAAGCTCGACATGGTGGGCACTAGAAAAGAAAGATCGATCGTTAGAGAAAATAAGTAACAAGTGAAAGAACTTTTTTTATATAAGCTCTTATTCCTCAAACAGCCTTACATATTATTAGATTCGAATAATACCGTGATAATGATGCTGATAATAATAACCATAATAATTTTCTTGATCGATGAGCTTATTCAGAGTATTATTCATTAATACTCTGTCTTGATTCAATGGTAGAGGAGCATTAATAATACACCCTTGAGTTCCCAACAACGTCTGCGTATCCTGAAGCATAATAAATCGCGTCTCTAGCATCTCCCCCGCTTGACGTAGGATTTAACTCTCCAGAACTATAGAAAATCCTTTGCATATTGAGTCAAGAGGAGGAAAGAAAGTAAAATACGCGCGGTAGCATAAATATTTCGTTGGCCTTTCGAACGGTTTATCTGCTTTCTGACATTTTCCTATTTTATTCAGCTTTTGAAGTTTTTAGTAATGGTTAATTTTAAATGTTTTGAAAATTTATCTTAGCTATTTCCATAATTCATTTATATTTTAGAAGCTAATCATATTTTATTATTTTATAATTTATTCAAAAACCTATGCAGTGAATACCAAATTACTTTTTCAATACTATCTGATGATCATCAGAAATAGCAAAATATAAATAATTCAACGAGTCAATATATATATATACATATTTATAAATATTAACATAATTTATTTTAAATTGATGAAATCATTATTTATGCTGATGCATTGACAATCAAATAGTTTAATTTAATTAAAATTACATCAACGAATGATGATATATTTGGTTTCAGTTTGCATTATTAATTGAAATAACATTTGCATAAAATAATACAATGGTGTTTGCTGTAATTATTGTAAAAACAACAGCAATCAAGATGGAATATATTATAAATATGTTTATGCACTTTATGGTAAATCATTTTAACATTAATATCCTTATTTAAATATCACCATCAGAATCTATCAAAATAGAAAATCTACATAATCAAATGGTACAATAAATATTAAATATACCTTGAGCTTTTGAGAGCTTTGCATTATAGTTTGCAACAAGATTGTGCATTTTATGAGTGTGCATTTAAATATTGAGAAAAAGAAAAACTTTATTTATACAGAATGAAAATATATTTAGATATTGATTTTCGTTAATTGATTGCTTGAATCAGCTCTGATATTTATGATCAAGTAATTTTTTTCACCATTGCTAGGAATCCTTTTGATATCAATAAGTCTACTTCAGATGCATTCAAAGCTCCTACTTTTTTTATTAGCTTTTTTTATAATTTATATAAAGCATCAATTTACCTATAACTCAGAGCATCAATATTGAGATGTTGACTGTATTTATGTCATTTTGAAAAATATTTCTGCTTTATAGATAGAATTATGATATAACTTTGTAATCTAATAAAGCATGTTCCATCCAACTTCCAATCATAATTTTCGAATTTAACATCCAAGTGCACATCCATATGCTGCACAATCTTGATTCATATAATTCCATGTGAGCTGATGTAAACCTGCTGAAAACTTTATGACATTTACTCTGAATTTACTGAATTTTTTTATCGATCTACATATTGAAACGACAATTGGAACCCTTCATCGTGGATTTAAATTGTATTTAAATCCCAGAAAACATCAATATCATGAATATTATACGAATCTTATCAATACTTAAGCATTGATACAACAAATACGATATATGTCAGAATGTTTTCAAGTGCTTGAGTTGATCTGCTAGCTTTAACCAAGACATTTTTATTATTTATTCTTAACCTTAGATAAAACAACATTTCCTGACCAAGATATTTACCCAGTGAGCACTAAAATATACACCCTTGATGTAATGTCTTAATTCTTCATGGAGCATTGGTTCTTTACTTTCCCTCGCTCCACACGCTAATAGGGGCCCATCCTCAAGCGTTGCTTTTGGATGTGGAGGTCTCCATGGAAAGTTAACGCCACTTGGATCTTCTAGAACACGTTCAACACCTCCTCGTGTCACCACAGATCCACTTGCTCCTTCTAAAAGGATCAACGTTGGCACTCCAGACTTGATACGATACCTTCGTGTTAGTCTTGTCTGGAAAAAAATTATTTTTATTCATTTAATTGTTACGGAGCTAGAGATGATGATGAAACAAAATATAAAATAAAAAGAAGCAAGTAATTTTTTGCAAACTTTTTGAAAATAAGTTCTCACAATTTAAATCTTTACAACTGCTTGAGATTACTTGAGAGTTGAGCCAATTTAGCATAAAAGTTAGAAGTTAACAATTTAAATAAAGAAAAGAAACGTTTTTTCTTATTTTAAAAGTATAATATTCACGCTTCTTTCCGCCAAGAGTTAAAGAAATTCATTGGAATACCAAAGTATGGCGATTACGCTGGAAAAAATTTTAACATGAATGTGTAAATACATGAGTAGACAAGATTGTCTGTAATATATACATCGATAGTATATATGTATATTCTATTTCAACAACCGAAGAGCTCTTGTCGTCTTGACTTGTCGTCAAAGGCATCCCCAGCCAAGCAATACCCAAGCATTGACGCCTCGCATCAACGATATTAAAAAACCCTCGAGTGCACTCTTCTGTCCCGTTACGTTATTCGATGCTTCAATACCCATTAATGCTTTCAATATATAAATTTCCAGTATTTAAAATATTCAAATGGTTGCTAAAAATGAAATTTATAGCACTTTCTGTTTTCTCTTCATAAGCTTTTTTTTTTTGGAAATGAACATATAGATAGACATCAATAATAAAGTTTATAACAAATAGATGATGATGATGATGGATGCACAAATGTGATTTTTAAAGGGGAAAAAATTCTATGAGTTGATGAAATATAAAAAGCATTTTTTTTATTCAAATGGTACGTCTGGCATTTCCAAGGTGTTATTCAACGTATGATGTGCGCAGAGAAATGGAAACCAAAACGATAACACGCCCGGAAGAAAAAAGATAAAGAAAGGTAAAATAACAAAAAAAAAGAAGTTATAAAAAGCCGCAGAAAATAAAAGAAAAAAGCTATGAGTAACTCCTAAGCGAAATGATTCAAAGGTCAGTGAAAGATTGAGGGGGTTGCAGTGAGAAGAAGATGAAAAAGAGAAAATGAACGATGGGTGCTAGATTGAAGACCTCAGTAGTCTGAAAAGAAAATTGCGATACTTTTTTTATTTTACCTTACCAACACTAGTATGTCACTTTTATTTTTCTTTCATAAATAAATGATAAACTTTAATTCTAAGTTTTACGTTCAATATTTCATTTAACTTTAATAACTGAAAAAGAAATTTATTTCTAAATAGCTTTATTGTTGATGTAATTATTTAAACTTGCTATAATTATTATAAATATTAACATAGTTCATTATTTTTTCTACTTTGCATAAAATTGTATACAAGATTCTTTTAATCTTCAAAAGAAAGTACGAATAACGTTTTTCAGAAACCAGTTCACAAAAAGTTTATTATGTAAGCTTGTAGCTTGAAAATATACTTTAATAAATGAACTAGATTGCATTAATTAAAAGTTAATATGCTCTGAATTTCATAAATTGTTTACAAAACATTTATTATTTTAATTACAAATCTAAACACAAGTAGATAAACTAGTAGAATATTTTTTTAAAAATTATTTAAATATTTTATTTTTTACTCTATAGTATTATATTTATTACTGTGCAATCATTTGCACTTTGGAGCATTAAATTTATTAAATAATAAAACAAATACAATAACATATTATATTTTATACAGTGATATAAAACGATTCTTGCTATATAAATTGAATTGAACGGTTCACAAAGCGATGAAATTGATTTTTATCAAATATTTTAGCTTCTGTGATAGATATTTTTGAAATATAACATACAATATTTTCTTCTATCTATTTATTTATCAGCATGGCTTTGTTGATTTTCATTTGTTTATGTTCTAACAAATATTATAATATAATATAAAGTATAGAATATATTTATAATAAAATATAATATAATAGAAAATAAGAGAAAAAAAACAAATAATCATAATACTTTTGAAAGAATTTCTTTTTTCATATCTCTTACTGGTATATATAATATTCCATTTTATTCACGTATTTGATAGTCAACCCTTGTTGATAAAATGTTGATATGAAACGAACGAAGGAAGGAAGATACAACAGGTATCATATACGTTAAATTGCATTTCATTGTTTGTTTATGTTCATTGTTCCAAATGTATACAATTTAAATCCTAAAAATTTCAACCTCAATTTCCTCTCGCACAATTTTCCAACTCACCTCATTACGTGCTGTCGACTAACTTTATTACATTATCATAAGTATATGAGTATAATTCCAAAGCCATTGCTTTTTAACATGAATATATGCCATAGTAGTTCTGTAATGAGGCCATAAAAACTTTATAACACATGAGTATTATCAGAGCTTTAGAAATAATACGCTAATAAACAGCAGCACGGATGAATACTATACACGGAGAGAATTTTTTCACTAAATGTAAATGCAAGAAGAGACAAGTTTACGTTTTGAAGTTTAGAAGTAAAAATATTTCTGTTTAACAGTGAATTTTGGGTTGTTGTAAGTAATATTTGAGTTATCCTCAGTAATTATTTTACAAAGACACACATTGCAAATCCCAGTTTCCCAAAATGCATTATTTTAATGCGGATAAGTGTGTTAAATATGACGTCACCCATTTGATTAACATTGTAGTCACTTTTAATGCGTTTCGAAATGGGTAAAAAGTGACTACAATGTTAATCAAATGGGTGACGTCATATTTAATACGTTTAGATGTGTAACAAGAATGCACTTGGATTTGCAGTGTACATTAATGTTAATAACTATTTTTTAATAAAAATATTGCATTTTGATAAGTATCTAGAAAATTGATTAGCATAGTTTTGGAAAGTATGTGTATTTAATAGAGAATGTTTTAAAGTGGTAGACGGCTTTTCAGAGAATCGTCCTGTGACCACTTTACTCAGAAATGATTAAAATTTACATTTAGAGGTAATTTTTTAAATTCTAAAATTCAATTAAAAAAATTTTCAGTTTTAAAAGAATTTAAATTTTCGCAGGAAAAAATTAAAATTCTCTTAAAATTAATTCACCAACATAAAATAAAATTTCGTCATCTAGAAAATATTCACTGAAGCTTTTTTAATCAAGTGCATTCAACAAACTGTTCAGTATTTTTAATTTCCCAACTATCATCTGGAATTTGGAAAACCAAAATGAAACTTCTTAAGGACAATTGAAAATATGTATCATGAATACAAAAGCATATTGGACAATCTACAGATATGTATATAGCTATCTGAATACCTATTGAGTAGTTTGCCATAGTAATGAACAAAACAGGGAAATGTCAGGAGGGATGAAGTGATATGCCCTAGAGGACCGGAATAGTCTGAATACTGACGAGATTCCACCGAGTATATCGATGAGTGTGTTTCACTAGACAGATTCCACTTGATTCCATTCCAAACCTAAAGCCAATATTCTTGTAAACCATGCACGTCGCCTGAAAGTCACGAAGTACTTCGGTTTAATCCAATTCCTTATTTTTTTGACCTTGAAATAGGACTAAAGGTTAAAGCAATCGCTGAAATCCTTTCAGAAGTTCTTGAGGCCTAGGGTATTTCTACAGATCAAATAGGAAGGATACAATAAAAAAACATGAGCAGTTTATTTATGACTATATTTCACAAATAATCTTATAGAGCATTTCGAGAAGTATGAAATATTTTATAGTAGAATATGAAATACCACGAAGGGAAATACTCATAAACTGTAGCTTTAGGGTGCGAGGTTCGTAGACCCCTTTAATAAAGTATGAGACGTAAAATATCTACGCCCTTATCACATTTACAACATTGGAGGGTGACACTATTATATAGAAAAATTAAAATATTGTTATTATTTTAGGAAATATTAAGATTTATTTATAATAATTTTGTTGGATTAAAAGCTATCCCCCAAAGAGATCTCATTGTACCTTCAGATTTATTAAGCAGATATTTGTTCTAAAGAAATAACTTTTTACTTTCAGAAATTATTTATTTTTATTGTTAACTTAATGCTAAAGCTTTTACAGAAACTGTTTCACCTGGAAATGAATAATCTATAATGAAATATATAACAGCTATTAATACTTACTAAATGAAGTTCATTCACTAAAAGCTAAGCTGCAAATAGAGTTAACATCACAATAATCAATTTATTGCTCAAAAAAATTGTCTTCTGTATCAATCATTATTAAATGAATTCCTATTCAAATCAATTTATATAAAAATCTAATTATTAAAAAAGGTTATGAATAATTTTAAATTAAAATATGAAAAATCACGATAAAACATCAGTCTTTGGGAAAATATGTTTGTACTATAAACAATCTACATTAATCTCTATACATTCTATGTCACATGGAAAGAGCTTTTTCCCGTAGAAGTAATTTCATAACCTAGGTAGAAGTATGCTTTTAAAAACAATATTGCATGATAGGACAATTAATAAACGCATGACAGGAAATGCAATTAAAAATATAATTAAAGTGCCCATAAACGTTTCCAGTATATCATTATTTATATCGATATAAGCTAAACCTGTTTCCAAGTTATCTCAAGAGATTTTACAAAATTAATCCACAAAAAAAACCCTTGAAATCCACTCCACACATAATTGAAACCACGAAATACTGGATATCTATTTTTATTAATGCATGTAATCAATATCCAAATGCTGGTATAACCATACACGCATCCAACGACAGGTTGACCACAATTCATCTTCGTCGTAGACGTCTGCTGTGGTTTAGGTTGCATATTGACCGAAGGTTTACATTTCTTCATTGTGTCTCTACTACAACAATGTTGTAGGAACCTGTCAGTTGGCTGTTCCAACCCCTTCGTTGAATTTACCAGATATCTACCACAGGACCTAAATGTTTGTGATTCCAGCAAATACTTGACGATCTTTTCTGTTTTCTTCCATTCTCCTCTTCCACCTTATCCAAGAACATTATACGCCCAATAAGCTCGTCTGACGAGGGTCGACGATTATCAGTAA